ATTCCGTATTTCCCTTCAGATGTCGAATTCTTCATAATCCAGTCAATCACTAGAAGGAAGAGGAATGGGGAGAGTAGACAGCCTTGTCTGACTCCGGTCCTTACTGGAAATGCAGCTGTCCTCCTGACACGTTGAAGTTAGTACTTCTTTTATCCCTCTCCAGTTGTCCTCCAAAGTAGTTTCTTGTTCTTTCAGTAGATCCTGTAGAGCCTGGAACCTGTTGTTGAGAGTCATCTTGAATTCATTGAGCTTGTTAATATCTCGAAGGAAGGCTGTATTGAACCTTTGTAGTGCTGTTTGTCCAGTTGTCCAGTGTTTCTTTATCTTCAGTTTCATCTTGGCCACAACCAGGTGGTGATCTGAAGCTATGTCAGCTCCTCTCCGGGTTCTCACATCTTCCATTGATCTTCGGCATTTTTTTTTGGTACAGATGTGATCTATCTGGTTCTCTGTGGTGTGGTCCGGTGAGATCCATGTAGCTTTGTGTATGCGCTTGTGTGGGAATATTGTGCCACCTATAACCAATTTGTTGAATGCACATAGGTTTGCAAGTCTCTCCCCATTTTCATTTCTCTCTCCTAGTCCATGTCGTCCAATTACATCTTCATATCCTGTGTTATCCACTCCAACTTTAGCATTTAGATCTCCCATCAGGATGGTGAGGTCCTTTCGTGAGCATTTCGCTATAATTGATTACAGCCTCTCATAGAACTGATCTTTATCATCGTCCTTGCTATCATTGGTGGGTGCATAACATTGGATAACGTTCATTGTGATCCCTTTCTTTTTTGTTCTGAATGATGCTTTGATTATCCTGGGTCCATGAGATTCCCATCCTACAAGTGCATTTCTTGCTTCTTTGGACATCATTAGAGCAACTCCCTGAGTGTGTGGAGCATTTTTCCCCTTCGCGACTGGAGTACAGCAGCAACTCTCCTGTACCTAGCCTTTGTTGTCCAGTTTGTGTCCAATGGGTTTCGCTGATTTCGAGTACTGCCAAGTTGTATCTCCTCATTTCCATTGCTATTTGGCTGGTCTTTCCTGTCTCCCACATTGTCCGGACGTTCCATGTACCTATTAAGAGTGTTGCTCTGGTTGTTAGAAGGTGCATCGGTATGGTGACTTCCGGGGAATTTCGGCTTTCATCATGATACGTCATAACTATTCTTTCAATTCCCAGGGCAGAGTTTAAATGGTTTTAATTAATTTTTCTGGTTAGCGTTTTTTAGCGAGTTAGCTTTTCTACGGGATGGGGTCGCTAACCCCATGCACAACCCTCCTCCTTTACCCGGACTTGGGACCGGCAGTAACTCTAGAAGAGCTACTGGCGGAGTTGATCGAAGATCATTCCCACGATAATATGTAACTTCTGCAGACTCCAAACACCTCATATTCGAACGGAGAATTCTTCCTTTTCATAGCTTTGCTGAAGTCTCTTTCGTCACAGAATGCTTAGCATTTCTATATTGAAGTAGAAATGTGTCTACTCCCCTCTCCAGTTCAATAAATGTCGAATCAGCAACAGAATCAATAATAATTTTCGATGTTCTTACGAAATTTTCTGCCTGACTATTAGAATAAGGGTGCCTGTGAACCGTAAACAGATGTCTGCACCCTATACCATTCAACCAATTAGTGACTGCATCCCCAGCGAAATAAGAGCCATTATCAGTCACTAACACCATGATAACTCCTTCTCAACTAAACACCTTCCTTAATGCTTGGATTGTGTAGTCAGAATTCGGTGAAGTTGTGAAAAAACTTCAGTCCACTTAGAAAAAGCATCAATAATTACAGGTGCATAGTATTTGCCAAGAAATGAACCACAGTAATCTGCATAAATTCTCTGCTAGGCCTCAGACGACACTGGCCATGGAGTCCACTTCGAAGGCTGACTTTTCAGCTTGTGACATTTTTCACTATTGTTTTCTGTACGACATATATCTGCATTTATCTCTGGCCACAAACATGCGATTCTTGCCAAGGACTTCATTTTCTCAACACCTAGATGTCCACTATGGAGATCATTAAGGACAGGTTTGCGTAATGAAGGAGGAATAACAACACGATCATTCATACACAAAATGCCGTCAGGAGTAGTAGATAATGATACGTCTTGCTTATTGAACGCTATATTCAGATCCTAAGCTAGTTTCGTAACCCCCAAGCTAGAACTACACAGCGACTTGAACACGAGAGAAAAGGCACAAAATATGCGGGAAGCTTTTTACTCCTAGGTTCATTCATGTACAGAAAATAAAGGTTTTTATAGTCTTTTGGAATCCCTTGGGTTTTACTGAAAATTCTAGAATACTACTAGACATAGTAGCAATGTAATAACCAGCCAATCAGAACCTCTACATGTGACTTTTCATTTTCGCAATATTTCTAGCAAAACTACTAATCAAACGCTGATTGGATAAAGAGCATCTTAATGTTTCCTGAGCTTGTCATGTCTCTTGTGAGTAACTTGCAGGATCATCCCAACAGATAACTCGTCCCGCTTTGAATAATAGACAGGACATCTACGTTTCAGATTAGCATTCCAATCCTTCCGTATAGCACTGAGTATACATCTAAAGTATATACGAGTTTCTCTAATGAGATCTGGACGTCTCATCGTTAAAGTTTGAGCTAACAAGCAGTCTGAAGTATTAACAGGTCTTAGTTTTAGTAATTGTCGAGAAATGTAGTCGATGTGTTGAATCTGTTTTGCACTCCTGTGCTGAATGATTTAATCATATGCACTCAAATCAATACTCCATCGTTGAGCCATAGAAGCTGAGAAACGTGCTAAGGATGATAAATGAACTTTTAAGCTTCATGATTGGTAACAATGGTAAACTTCTTTCCAAATAAATATTTATGAAGTCTTTTAACAGCCCAAAACACAGCTAATGCTTCTCGCTGTGTTGTGAATAACCTTGTTCAATAACAGTAAGTTTGCGTGATAGATAACTGTTCCAAAACTGCACCAATACCTACAGGTGATGCGTCAGTAATAAGTACAGAATGTACACTGGGTGAGTAAGTTCGAAGGACAGCATCACTTTGAAAAAACTTTAGCAGACTTCGTAAGCATGACTCTTGTTCTTCACCCCATTTGAATGAATTGGCTGTCAAAATATTAAGTAAACAGTTGGCACGACAAGAAAAAATAGGAATAAAACGAGAATAGTACTGAAGAGCACCCGCTAGTGAACGTAATTCTGTGATATTTTTCGGAGACGGTTCATTTGTCAGTGGGGCTATTCGTTTCATATCTGATCTAAAACCATTACCATCAACTAGGTATCCAAGACATTCGAAACTAGATACACAAAATGCATACTTATTCGGATTCACTGTAATATTCTTCTCAATTAAACGACGCAATCAGGCATTAGGCCTCTGGTCATGAACTACTTTATCAGCACCATGAACAAAGAGATCATCTTGATAAACTTCAACACCTTCAATATCGCTGACTACCTTATTCATAACTTCCTGAAATATTGTTGGAGAACAACCAAGACCAAATGGAAGGAAGTTGTATTTGAGGATATTAATTTTGAGAATATTTTATGCGCTACCACGTAATCATCAGTTTACACGATCAGCATGTTTTACGCTAATATTAGTAACTTGAACTGCAAAATAATTGCTTAGCGCGTCCATGTGGTAGCTACATAAATGTAGCTGGTACATTTAATGAAATTTGAATTTAATATGAACATGCTGTCAGAATGATCGTAGTTCCACTCACTTGAGTTCACCAGAGATATGTTTCAATATAATCTTATCTTATCATGATACTCACACGAAATAGAATTTGAAGGAGCTTTCACTAAATTCGATGCAAACGTTTTCGTTGTTCGTATAAATAAGTTATGAAACCAAGTAACCGAAGTTATAGTGAAGGAACTTACGGTTTATAATTTCAAAAAAGAGATTTACAGTTGCCTTAGTTCTGCGGGTACTACGGAAAAACAATTTAAATCGTACTCCTCAACCACTTGTATTAGTAACTGTTTTGTCCCTCAGTTGACAGAAGGAGTACAACAAAAGTCATACCTCTTTACGACCAAGAAAGTTTCCCTACGACCCAGATGCAGATCCCAAGAAACAAATAGTTCGCCGATTCTGCCAATCAAAGTTGCACTTGGAGCAAATTAAATGTTAAGTATTTGGAACAGCTGATGTCGTTTGATTCTTTGGCTTTGCAAGATGCTTTGCTGATACCGGAATTAACAATTACTTATACCTTACGTGGGACTGCGTTTACACCCGTAAGTACAGACATATCAGACGAAGAAATACAGAAGATGCCACAAGTGTTGTAGTTTGACAACACTTTACCGGTAACACCTTCTATAATTGAATCGCGCCCACCCAGTTAAATCAAAAGTCAGAAGCAAGGAGGTTGGAAGATATACTTGACAGATTATCAATATAATGAGGAGTGACTGATCTAAACTGGCTAGTGATTGCAGGAGACGTTGAGCACGCCGTTCCAACTCGTGATCTAGTGCGGATGAATGGCCGAGCACCTTTAGATGAGTGAGCCATTAAAACTAATATGGTCAGCATCTAATGTCGAGCACTTACAGAGCTATTGATTTTTGGGATTTATTTACCGCTACAATACGTTAGAGTTGTGTCGTCATAGTTCTTTTTGCATACTGACATTTCAGACTTAGTGTTCGTATGCTGTAAAAATAATTATCAACTACAGAAGTCCTATTACCGTATGTACTTCTTTCAAACATGTCCCTCAATTTTCCTAACTTGTAAATCGTCAAGACAACATAATGTCATTGAAGATTCGTCCTATATCATGCATCATTAAGATGGCATCACTTTCGTTACTTGAAGGTTGGACATTATCAGGCAAGATATGGTTGAACTCAATTCAAATCCAAAAATGTGTGTGATTTGACCGCTTGTGCAGAACTCCACTAATTATCGAGGTGATGCACCAATCGTTCAACGACAGCTTGACCTTCAAGTGCTCAGTAACCCTTGTTAGTGGACGATACCACAGAAGCGTTCCCGCCAACAGCTGAGTTATGGATGATGAGTACGACGTTGTTGTTTTAGGGACAGGTTTAAAAGTAATGTCACCTTCCCATTAATATCGTCGTCGATTCTCATAAGGAATGTATACTTAGCAGCCTAATGTCTATGGAAGGGAAGAAAGTCCTCCATATTGACAAAAACAGTTACTACGGTGGTGATATCACATCCGTAAATATCGACTCCCTGTTCCAGTACTTCAACGTTGAAACAGACATTTCTAAATACCATCGTGCTAAGGACTGGAATGTTGATCTGATCTCGAAGTTTCTAATGGCGAATGGTACGTAAACTGCTTCTTTGTCAACATTTGATTACAGGAAAATTGGTTCAAATCCTTGTTCATACTGGTGTGACGCGATACTTAGAGTTTAGAAGTGTAGAAGGAAGCTATGTTTATCACTCAGGTTCTGTCTACAAAGTACCATGTAACGAAAGTGAAGCACTTAGTACAAGTATGATGATGTTCATCATGTTCAGAATTTTGCAGAACTAATGGACCTTTTCGAGAAGCGTCGGTTCAGAAAGTTGTTGGTCTGGATGATGAATATTGATGTAGATAACCCGTCAACATGGAACTATGTTTATCCTCCACCAATGGATATCAAAAAGGATACTATTTCTCACGCCTTCAATAGTTTTAATATCAATAAAGAAACCCAAGTAAGTAATTATTCATTTGCAAGTGAATCATTAATGTAGGTGTACTTTTACAGACATGTTTCATATAAATTCTCGTTCGTGTTTTTTTTCGACCGTTTTGACGATAACGGCTTTCAGTGAATGATTTAAATTTTGATTAGTGAATTATCCTGTAATAACTGTACATGTTTTTCCCATTTAGAATTTTATAGGGCATGCAATATGTTTGTTCCAAGATGATTCATACAAAGAAAGTGTTCCTGCTATCGAGGTGATAAGTCGTATGCAACTGTATAGTCAGTCCGTTTGTCGATTCGGTAAATCACCATATCTCTATCCCCTCTATGGACTGGGGGAATTGCCTCAAGCGTTCGCTCGCTTGTGCGCTGTGTACGGTGGGACTTATATGCTCAATAAACCGATTGATGAACTAGTGATGGAAAAAGGAAGAGTTGTTGGAGTCAAATCAGATAATAAAATTGCAAAATGTAACATGGTTATTTGTGATCCAAGTTATGTGCCCACTATGGTAAAAAAAGTCGATCAAGTAAGTCAATCACCTAGAGGTATACTCACAAAATCCTTTGTAAATTGGTATGAAAAGCTTAACGTACGGTTGTTTGTTATCAATATGTGGTTAAATAAAACTCGTAAGTCTATAATTTTCCGCAGTTATATACTCCATAATTAAAGTAGTTTGGATTTATAGTGCATAGTTTTGTGATCTAAAGTATAATATCTCATAGCATGCAGTCATACTGGAAACTATCATATTGTATCGGCATTAAGACCAAGGCTGCGTGACAGTAGTGATAGATTACTATGACTCATGCAATACTTTCTTTCTAGTACTCTTCAACTCGTGTTTTATGTATTAGGATACTATGTGGCTTGAAGTAGCTCACAAAGTCATGCATAATGAGTCACACTACGAATGTAGTTTTAAGATATATTCCTCAAATCGATGCACTTTTGAAGTAATTATGAACTACTTATGAATTAAGTTACTTTGACTACATTTTCTTTAGGTTGTTCGTGCTATCTGCATTCTGACACATCCGATTCCGGAAGTACAAAACTCTCTATCAACCCAAATTATTATTCCTCAAAGTGAAGTTAATCGAAAACATGGTAAGTTCATCCAATGTGTGCATGTTCCACTGATATATTTTTTTAGATATTTATATTACATGCGTATCTCATCAGCATAATGTCTGTCCTGAAAATTTCTTTGTGGCACATGTTGCAACAATCGTTGAAACATCTTCTCCAGAGAAAGAGCTCGAACCTGGTTTAAAACTTCTTGGAACTATTGAACAAGTGTTTTATTCTGTACAGGATCTTTTTGTGCCAACAGACGACGGTCGTGAATCTCGGGTATGATTATTTTTTATGTAAATTAAGATTTTTCCGTGTTTTCTGGCAATAAGAAATAATTTTGATACTAAGTTATCTCACTTGTTTACGCTCATCTTATGCAAGATGTTCCTGTTTTTGTCATGTCACTTCGTATACATCTCTTTCAGTTATTCGAGGTTTCACAACCCCCCAAAAGTAATCAGATAATTACAACTATTGCTATAGTATACCCTGCTAGTAATTTTCTGTTTTGCTCGCTGAACTACGACTGATAGCCAGATTGAAAATTCACGCCTTATGTGCACATGTCGAAAACGTTAACATCTGATGTGAATCAAAATTGTCAAATTCGGTAGTCTTTGGTATTATGTACTTATAAAATTGGTGCTAAATTATCATCCAAAAGCCACATTAATTTTGTTAGTTTCATATGCTTTACAAATAAACACGAACATTCTAGAAGGTATGGTGATTAGATTACTTGTGTACTGTATAAGTATCCTCTAATCCCCTTATCGTTGTATAGTGATTGATGTTTGTCCCATATGAGTAGGTGTAATCGATTAGAAGTTTAAAGAAAACCAGTTATTTATATCACCTTCAAAAACTGTTGTATAAGTCGCGCTTTCAAATTAAAATAATTTGTCAATTATTCTTGTAAATTGTTTAAGATGGTTTTTAAAATTATTTTGAATACTTTAAACCATGTTATAACTTCCAAGTGTCCTTACAAAATACTTATTAATTTATATTGACCGTAGTTTTGGAATAGATGTTTTCTTACAACTTGGGAAAACAAGCATCAATTTATAAGTAAATAATATATTTGTAACATTACAAATATATTATTTATTTATAGCAATCTACCAAATGCTCAAAATTATCAAATCAAAACTTGGTAATGATACCTACAAGCATCATTTTAGTTTGGTTGTTTGTATCGTTGTATCTGTAAATGAGTTTGTTTACTGTGTATTATCAACAAATTGTCCAATGATTCTTTTGAGGTTGCTCGACTGTATATATTGCTTAGTTTTTATGTAAATGAACTTTGTTATTTGTGTTATCCTACAATATTTGCTCTATTCAAGCCACTTTTTAATGACTTTTTAAAATTAGTATGTAAGTTCTAAAAATATTCGTTTTGAACGCAAGTGAACAATATAATCCGAGAATAGTACGGGTTTTATTCGTCAAATTCAGCTGAATTCAAAAACGATAATGACACCTGACGATGAATACATCAGATTTAAAACGTTTACGCTAAACTTTGACTGAACTGGAGACATACGTTTGTACATTGTTGGGAAATTTGTAGTCTAAAACAAGTGTTTTTCCCCTTTGTTTCAGGTTTTCATTTCGTCAAGCTATGATGCTTCTACACATTTTGAGTCTACTTGTGCTGATGTTTTAGATTTGTATGAACGTGTAGTTGGAAAACCGTTTGAACTAAGTAAATTAAAGAGGTATGAAGAGGTGAATGAATAACTCGGTTTCGGAAAAGTCTTCACGATAAAAATCTGATTATCCTGCTTTGAAACAGATGTTATTTTCTGTTGTCTACGTATTTATTCATCGTTGTCAGTTGTGTGATATATACTCTTGCAATCGCAATTTGTATTTATCTGTATGCTTTATTTTGTTTTGATTTTTATGTCAGTGGCATATTATTCAGTTTAACGACACTGTTCTTAGTATTTTACATTCTTTCAGGTTTTTCAAACTGATTTCACTCTCAGTCATTCTGAATTATGTTCTTTTTCATTCCTTATGTGATTTCCAGGTTGAAATGTCAATGTGATATGCTTACTTTTTAATTTAATTTTCAGTTGCATAACGTTTCGCTTTAAATGTATAACTAACATAAATTACCTCACTAATTCTCTTATCGGATATATATATATCTTCAATATTTATGTTTTTCATTTTAACTGATCTCCTAAGCTATCTAACAAATTCAATGTATTTCCGGTGTTCAAATTGAAGTGTGAATGTCTTTGTTTATCATGGTTTCATCTAACTCGTTGCAAATGTGATTTCATTTGTGTGTCTCTCAATTTATAGTGATTTTTCCCTTAATAATAGTTTTAAGTTGAATTACAATCACCTGTGTTTTTTCTACTCGACCTGATTTAATAATTCTTCCTGTGATAGTAATCTGCGAGCGATCATGTAATAGTTCAGTAATCTAGTCATAATGTGTATTCCTTTTGTCTCATCACTTGTCTCTAACTGTGTAAACTGATTTAGTTTTAACTCTAACTCATTAGATCTATTATATGAAAGTGATTCGTAAACTGTATATTATCCTAACAAATAGATAGGTACTTGTCTTTTGAAAGATCTAAATAGATGAATTATCAACTCAACTAGCTTTTATTCATTTACTCGACGGTTTAAATCAATTGTGTGTTCACTTATCTGTAGATCTCGCGAACTAAGTAATTCAGTTACCATCCTCATTTCCGCAGCAACAATTAATTCCCTGTCTTATAATGTATTTTTACATAAAGCGAATTTTTATTCATTTTGATCATATATTTCTTCACTCGCCGAATGTGGTTATACTCTAGTATACGAGTCTGTTGTCAAAAGACCAGAAGGTGGATCAAAACGTAGGATCAGTTCATGAGATCATTGAGTGCTTCATTGAACTACGTTAAAGTTTGCAGGATTTCTATTTGGGAGGATCTGGAATGAGCAAAGAATAAATATTTATATTCCACTTGTGCAATGTTGAGTTAATTTGTTAAACGTATCAATCATAATGATCGAGTAGTCTGTAGCTTAGAAGGTTGTAGTATCCAACGGGAAATAATATTTATTCATGAGAAGTCGAATTGTTTGGATCCCTTGACGAAATTAAACAATCCAGACATATGTTGCGCATTCCACTTGTTCTTACAAATTACTATATAAACATACCACATGAATTGTTCATACAACCAAAAACTGTGACTCATATAGGCACGTCTAATATTATTGGTTTTTAATAGAGCTCTTCCAGACGTTCAAGGGAATCTTAAGACAATTTATTCAGATAAACTGGCCATATCTTATTCAGGATGAAACTTCGCAGTAGGGAAACCAATCAAATTAAGATGTCTTATCTTTTCTATCGCCATAACCTTATATATTCTCAAAACTCCAGTAAGTGGCTTTAAATTTCTGAAAGGTCTGCTAAAAACATTTATTCTTATCAGGTACAACGTATTGACAATGAATCGGTGCACATTCATTTGTTTATCCCATGTATTGCTTCCAGTGTTATCCATTAAATCAGAAAATTATGAAGATTCATTGTGATGGTTAAACATAAGTCTTAGCATCGATATCAATGGTTTTGGTCTGCCTTACTACGTGAGCTCCATATTGGCGATCACCTTAAGTGTAAACCTTTTCTACATCAGTATTTTATCATAAGAACAGGTTTATACGTTCGATATTCTTAGATTTCCTGTCTGGACTTTCTGTAGATTGTGTCTTATTAATATGTTCACCCACTATCAGCGTTAAATGCTTCATATGATCAGGTAAGATAACTACGTGGTGGGCTATTATTTCTTGAGAAACCACAGTTAAGATTAACCACTTTCCGAATGATATGTAGTAGAGCTAATATAAGCTGTAAATAAACCTTATAGAAGAGTATAAGTAAATGCATTTTCGTGGGTCTTGAAGCAACGTAAGATCTTGTCAACTTTTTTTCTCACTGTATGCTTTGGCATTTATTTGGTTCTTCCATATATTCCATCTATTCGCACACACCACTTAATTGTTAAATAAAATGTCAAATAATTGTGTTAGGTTTGAACCACCTTTATTATTCTGGAAATATGCCACTGTTATAATTACACTTGATTTTTGTTCTTGGTGCTCCAGTTAGTTTATTGGTTATCGATTTCTAAGACGATGTGTATGGTTGTGATTTACATCTCAGATTCGTAGGTGCTGTCTATTATTTCAAAAGTCAGCTACTCGTTTCAGTTATGATCGCTGTGATCACTTTCTATTTGTTCGGTCATCAACAAGCAAAACAGATGTCCAGAGTAGTGATTAGTGGTAATAAGCAATGAGTGACTTGGCAACTAACAAAAATAACCTTTTAAACATATGGATATCCATGACTCCTACTTTTACATAACTACCTGGTATACAATAAATTTCTCAGGGGGTTGTGTTGTCGATTATGTTGTTCGTTCTCACGAGTACATGGATCATATTGTATCGTTTCGTTTATCATCGGGCCATGTTCAGGTGATTAAAAAATGGAAGGAGTTCACGGAAAATATCTCAACCACTGGTTTCATATTAAAGAGAGGGTAGCAACCCTGAACGATGTGAAGTTAGGTGCGTGTTCTAAGCATTTCAGAACTTTTTCCTGATTGCTTATCACATCACAGGCTGACTTAAGCTAAATAACCATTGTAAACTGGTAAGCTATTTTGTCCTAGTATAGGGCTTTCGTAGCGCTCATTCACGACCCTACCATTGGATTGAACAAAATGTGATTTCGTTTTTTTTGTTAACTCTCGTCTTTGTGTGAAAATCTAACAGTTTACAGATAACTATTTCCTAATATTCTCTTGACGTATAATTCTGTTTTACTGAAATACTATCCTCACCGATTCTTGAACAATCAATATGTGAATTTGAACCAATTAGACGAAATAGTACTAATCCTGATAAATCGAGAATTTCAGCAAGACGCGATCAAGAACTCGAATTCTAAGTACGCAGTATGAAATTGTATTATTATGATAGGTTTAAACACAACATAAAATATTAAAATGTACAGTTAATATACTGATTATTCACCGCAGAATAACTTTGTTCTTATTTATATCATTGGTGCTGCAAAGGCTCTTGTAAAACCATAATCGATCAGAACGAAAAAACGCAAACATTGTAATTTAGTAAAACAGAGGGATGTAGTTAATCAATTAGGAATTCCTTTTATCTACTGTTCACTCCACTAGTTATAGAGAGTATTTTCAACAAATCCAACCTAACACCGAATTGTTCACACTTCTGCATGCATTTTTAATTAATCACTAAGTTAGAACGCAAGTGCCAAGTTTTAGTTGAATTAATTTTTGCTAATTTCCCTTTATCTTCCCTAGTACATTTCACAAGTGGGCTTTTCTTTTTTATAATGATCTAGTATAAAATCCTTAAAAGTTCATGCATAGACAGTCGATTTTCCATTGAAAATCAAATTTTATTTTGTTTCTAAATAAATACTAATAAGTTTTATTCCTGCAGTGGAATATGACTTAGTGTAAGTTGTTTCTTCAGAGCGTTATAAATGAACAAATTAATGTAAATTTAAAAAAGTACAAAGGAATAAAGAGAATAAGTCTGGTCAAGTCAATGTTGTGTCACTCTAGTCAAAGTGATTTTTTAAGACATGCTTTTGTATGTGTTAATGATTGGGAAAAGTGTGATATTTGACTATGAACGAGTAGAGTTTAATTAGTAAGCATGTTAATGGTATGAGATGTGAATAAAATTAAATATAGTGCCTTGGAAAAATGGTCCAAGTTAGTTGACAGCAATAGAGTTGAGCAACATCTGAAAGACTTCAGCTAGTCCCCTTACTGTATAACTGGAAAAGCCGCCTTGATATTTGCAATATCGATTGGATTGTCATTTGAGATAGGGTACACTACTATTTTTGCTTTAATTTGGAGCTTCTTAATTTCTACGGTATTCTCGAGAGGTATCTAGTGTAGTTTAGATGCTCTTCGTCAAGATTTCCCCAATACAGAAAGCATTGCAATTGGCAAAAAATTATTTGTTGAAATGAATGGAATATTATCCTTTATTCGAACTGAAACATCTCGGAGGGCGTTAGTTGCTTTTACGATGGTGGTAAGGTCAAACTAAGATACCAACTCATGATATTTCATTCGTTTTATTGTTTTTTTAATAAATCGTTCCATCTAAGTACTTCAAAATAATATTCATAGGGAGATACTTGGATCGTACAATGATGATTATACGCCTCTAGTCCTTTTGTTGTTCTAATTATGATGTAATCTTCGTGGCTTTTCTGAATAGACTTGAAAGCAGAGGGATTTTTACTCTGAATGAATGTGATAAAATAAAGTCAGTATATTGATTGGAATGAAGTTGGTTTACGATAAGTGGCTTGATATACAGCTCTACTTAGATTTATTAAAACCAAACCTATTGAAAGTGACAACACACCGTATTCGTTTTTGAAAATGAAGTTGATGTGAGATGAGAATGTGTCGACCAATTTGAGAAAAGTTCTCAGGAACCTCTTTTTTAATGATAACAAATTATAACCTACATATTTGACCCAAGTTCATGATCTGACGTCACTGGCAAAAATACGTGATTCTATTCATTAAATAAACACATTGGCTATAATCTATGACGAGGATGATTTCATTACTATTCTATATATTTCTTTGTATAATCTCCTACTGAAGATAAATACAGTTAAATTTAAGGATTTTATGATTTAGCCTATGTTCTTTTTGTGATAATTATCGGTAAGATGTACATGCACCATTTGATCCTATTTGGTTTAAAACAAATGAAATGTGGTTTTATTAGTGCTTAAATTTGAGGCCAATAGGCTTAACTGGAAAATAATGGAATTTAAATTGACTAAAATAAAGTAAGAGTAATCTTAGTTAGACACTGAAAAATTTGTAGAAACTATTTAGTCCCTTGCACGATCCAGAATTATTATCTAATGGCTGTAGTGATGTATGACAGACCTACTTCTCAAAAATTATATTACTCTCTTTGGTCCTGGATACATATTATTGCTAATAAATACTTTGATGTGTAAGGTATACTTTCAAATCTTCTTACCAAGTGAATAGTTAAAATAAATAGTCAATTATTATAAATAAAGACGGATGGTGACTTGCAGTGGAATCCAGGACTCGCGTTTCGTCCTATTCGGGACTCGTCGTCTGGGTGCACCTTCGTCTCAGAGTTGGTGTTCGCTCTGGAACATCAACTCTGAGACGAAGGTGCACCCAGACGACGAGTCCCGAATAGGACGAAACGCGAGTCCTGGATTCCACTGCAAGTCACCATCCATTTTTGTTTATAATGCCTGTGAATGAAGGCAATATCGAGGCAATAAGCACAGTATTCACATATTCCAGTAAGAGATTGATCAATTACAGTCCTAAACATCAATAGGAAGATTTAAGTAAACAATACTAAGAGAATTCAATCAATCATTATGTCGAAACGCCTTAATCACTAACTAAAGTGTATAATATAACGGATGAACTTTGATCTGGTCATTGTCCGTTTTCCGTCAAAATCACATTCTAACTATCAAAATCTCTCCATAAAATGCCTTAGCAATTATT